GATGTGAATGGGAAATGATGCTCTGGGTTAGGTATCCCCAGTGTGTGCAAAAGGTGGAATGGCCACACAAAGCTGGGGAACTGGTCTCTGTAATTGCTGATAGTTTCTTTCCTGAGGGAATAGACTGTTCATTTTTGGGGTGGATGTATTGAAGGCAGGGAAAACTCTAGAAACACAGGAGTGTACAAGAGGAGTGGATTTATGGAGACAAATAAAGTGGGTAGTACACAGGGTGAGACCAAGATGAGAGTTATTTGCCATGGAACTGCACAAAGCATCCAGGAAATAGAAAACTGGAATTTCATTTACATTGAAAGGCAGGATACAGAAGTATAACTGTTAGATGACTTCCCTTGTGAAACACAGCAGTTGAGTTTGACCGAAGAGTAGGAGCCTGCCATGAGAAAGAGCAGGTGTCAAAAAATTCTCTAGAAGAGTCTGCAGGTACTTTACACTCAGCTTTCCGCTATGCTCTGCTAAACCTACTGCCGAGAGCAAACTGTTGAGCAGCAATACCAAGATTTAAACTCTTCAGTTATGGCTGAAAGCCAGCTACAATGTTTTAATTTTGATGTCATAGGTCTCTTGTGACAGCTTTGTTCTTCCTGGGATTATGGTGTTGATAAGATTATCCTTATCAACAAATGATGCTTCAGCAAGAGATCAGGACTTGTAGTACAGGAGACTTTTGTTGAAAGGGGAGCTCCCCTTTAAGTAGGAAGACAGTAATTCTGTGTCTCTGACATCACCTGTAATTTTCCATTGTAGATAGACCTATTACTCTGGAATTCAATATCCTTTGTTGGTGGAGCCCAAACAAATACCTCACACATCAACACACATGTTGTTCTCTATAAAAAAAATGAAAATACTCAGAATAGTAACCTCAAGTCTGTCACTAGATAAGATGAGAAAAACGTAGACAGTTCAAAAATGGTTGGGATTTTTAAAAAAATAATACAACACTCTACACACTTGTTAATATTTTATAGGTTATTCAGTATTGAAGAACATCAGAGCTGCTCTTGGCTCAGGTTTGCTAAAGGAAGAAGTGAAATTTCTGTCTTAAATTTTGAGATTTGAGACAAACCAGAGCAGTTATGAGTAAATATAACACTCTTGCAGCCTCAAGGAAGTTGTTAATAATAGGTTTGCAATAGGCATGCAGATAGTTATATAATAATTTCCTGTATGTTGTTTGCTAGTAAGAATGCTTCAAAATTGTGTTCATGGTTTCAGTAAGGGACTGGTGAGAGTAGCCAGTATAACATGGAAAAATAGAGCTCCTGTCCTGTTGCACCCCTTTGATGCTATGTTCTGGCACACATCATATGGTCCAAAAATGAGGGTCCAGGGTTCAGTGATCAGAGTTCATTGTTTCCTGATGAAATACTGGAAGCAGACTATAACTGAACTGTAAGAGCAGGAACTGAACCATGGTTGAGCACTCAACTTCCATAAAAAGCCATATTTCTTCTAGTTTTTCCTCCACTAGTCAATCATTTATTCTTCATTCACTCTTAGATACAACTGGACTGATGTTGAACTAGCTTATATCCCACACACCCACCCAGCTAGCTGTCAGAAGGTGACTTCACTCCATGTGTACCTGACTACTTTGAAATGTCTTTGGTCAAATCTGTACTATTAAAACCTGTTTTGTAGGTTTTTAAAAAATCATTTTGCACATTGAAGTATTTTATTTTCTTTCTAAAGCTTTTTACAGTGTCTACATTGAACTTAAAATCAGAAATGAATAAGATGTTCATTTATACTGTAGTCTGTGAGCAAACAAGATTATAGGTAGTGATTTTCGAGCCAGCAAGTAATATTCTGTTACATAAAAAATGGGATGGAGAAAGAGAAGTAAGTGTGATGTTACATTGTTTATACTGGGTAATGTAAACATCCTATTCATATTAGGAAAAAATATGAAAATGCTGAATAATGTAGGACATAGTTCTCATTTAGTGGAGATTCCACCGCCAATTGATACTTTTTTGTCATGTTAGTTGATGACATCATTCATTTCATATGTGCTCCATTTAAAAGAACTTCATGCTTTAATCAAAATGTCAAGTGGCATTGGTAATATACTTGCATAATAGCCATAGGCAAACTGAAGTGTGGGCTGCTGCCAAGAGTGGTTTTCCTTGTGCCAGCATTTTCACAGTCATCGTGTTAGCAGGGAGTCAGCTGGTCCTATTGAAGCCCAGGCTCAGGGTGAGAGCATACAGCAAGGGGCTGGTGGAAGGGCAACTTCCAAATAGCAGCTCATATGTGGCTTAAAGTGACTCTTTGACAACCCCTTAGTAAAACTAGGTGCACGACACCTGCACAAGCTATTAAACTTCTAATTTCTTCAAAGAATGGAGGTACATTTGTTTACAAGGTCTGTTTCCCACAAAATTATGAGTGCTATCAGTTACATTCATCACATGCCAGCTTTTCAGTTATCTTGCCAGACGTTTATCTGGCTGCTGAGTCTGCAATTATTTGTGTACTTTGGAATAATCTTAAATCTCTTCCAGTCCTCTGGATTTTCCCGAGTCTTTCAAGTTACTAAAAATGAGTACTGGGAGGCCAGAGGGAATGTAAAGTGTTTTTTAAAAGAATGTTAGGTACAAGAAGATACCTGGACTTGTTAATCTTTAATGTGTTGGTACATTATACAATCTCTTGATCATCAGTGATCCATATATCCAAATTAATTCCCATATTATATGGGGGTTATTATTATTGCATGTACTATGGATATGAACATCTTATCTGTGATTTTAAGACAGTTTTGGTAGTGGCTGTAGTAGTTGGTGTTCCGGATCCGAAGCCCCCATAACAATGCAAAATCCAATTGTTTCTTTCACCGTACGTTGTAGGCTAAACAAGTTATTCCAAGTCCTGCTCAGTATTTCTGATCCAGTAGCCTGAGGCAAGCCCTTAACATGGCCTTCTCCTGGGCTGTCAGCACAGCATGCACTGAGGATTTGTAGTCCTTCCTCTTATTAGCAACTTCAAACAATTAATAACTTATTTACTATAGAGTAGCACCACACCATCAGCTTTATCCTTCTTAAACACTGTCTAAACAGAGATTTTAATACCTGGATCATGCAGACTAGTCCCTTTTTCTGTGATGTTATTGATAAAATCTCTTTTCAGTGACAATTTACAGATCTTCATATATCTTAGTCAGACACCAGTCATTAGGATATAAACAATTATGTATTAATTCTCATGACTTTCTTTGTCAAACTTATTTACTTGTTTGTACCATGCCAAGCATCTTTTAATACAGTGCTTGCTTCCTTTGAGATCCTAGTTTACTATCCTTCCAGCTTGTACTCTACCTGTGAAACTGTCTTTATCACAAACCATTCTCTCCCCCATCTCCCCATCTCACGGGAGGCTGAGTGAGTGGCTGTGTGCTGCTCAGCTGCCTACTGAGGTCAGACCACAATGGTCCTTTTCAGTGTCCAATGTGAAGTTCAAAGGGTTTGAGATAAGCGCATATTTTGCTGGAGTGTGCAAGACCATATTTACAGCTGCTGCAGGCACTCAATCCACAGGGCTTGCCATGGGGTTCGATTGCCTTACTGCATGTTAGACTCCAGTGCTTGTTCGTGGCTGCTTTTTGCTTCTACTGAGGTCAGACCACAATGGTCCTTTTCAGTGTCCAATGTGAAGTTCAAAGGGTTTGAGATAAGCGCATATTTTGCTGGAGTGTGCAAGACCATATTTACAGCTGCTGCAGGCACTCAATCCACAGGGCTTGCCATGGGGTTCGATTGCCTTACTGCATGTTAGACTCCAGTGCTTGTTCGTGGCTGCTTTTTGCTTTTGCTGTATTCCTTGTCATCCATAATTCTGAAGGGAGCTGTGCTTTACACCGGTCCACCCCTGTGTTCTACCCAGGGCTTCAAAGAAGGAAAACAAAAGTGGAGTGGGTAGTGTAGAACAGGTTTGCTTATACAAGCACGCAGCTGAAGACATAAAGTCAGAAAAGTCTGGACTTGCTGTATTTTATGATCCTGGCACTGACTGTGGCAATTGCCATTTGCTTCTTGTAGGTACTTGTTCTGGTGCTGGAGCTGTAAAAGCTAATCATCAAGCAAGTAGCAACCTGATTGAGGCAAATAAAAGCTGTATTCAGTTACAGATTACTGAACCAGATTGCAATGTTTCAATCTCTGGCTAATGCTCAAGAACCTTAAAAGCAGCCAGCAATGCTGCAGTGCTCTTGCAATTCAGTGTAACCACTACCTGCTGTCAGGTAGGCAGGGTCAGCTGTAGGAAAAGACAACCTAGGGAGCTGCATGTGGCAAACATAGTACTAGGGTGATGCAGATCTCTTGGCCTTCACTAGGGCTGGGAGATCTGAAAGAAGGGTGTGTTGGCACAGTTGTATGGATGAGGGGCAAAGAGCTGCTTTTCCCAGTGCTACCGGCAGTACCAAATGCTGTCCCAGGCACGGCCAGGCCTTGTGAAGGAGTCATGACTGGCTCAGTTTTGTTTGCCAGCCCTTTAGCTGCTCATTCCACTGTTTGATCCCCTTACTGCCAAGCTGAGAGGGACCAGAAGCCCAAGCTGGACTCTCTGCAGAGGATAGGGAGAGCCCACACCTCTGGCAGCAGACTTCTTGGTTAACACTGCTGAAAATACTTACCATTTACCTTCTTTTGAGATTCTAAAAAGTAAGCAATACTTATAGAGAGAAATCATCTGATCAGCTGTGTTGCATAGATCCTGAGGGTTCTTTGGGCTCCAGCCATCCTCCCTTCAGCCCCTATTGTCTGGCTGTATAGAAAGGATCCATAAGTAGGTAGGATAATCTCATAACCAGCAGCTATCTTAGCAAGACAGAGAGAGAGAAAATGTTTGAACCTGTGCTATGCCCAAATAGGCATCAGGTATGTCTACAGAAAACCTTTTTCCTAAACTGAGAAACTTCCATTATCAGAGAAATTACAGCTGGTTTTTTTTTTTTCCTTCTCCATGCAGGACATGCTAGGTAGAAAAGAATCTTGTGCTTCAGGACAGATAATGATGACCAACCTCAGCTGCCTCATCCATGCACTGGAAGAATGGACTGTTGTGGAGTTCTTGAAGAAATACCTTTTTCATCTGATCATCACCTTACTGTCAATTAGTGCAATATTAGTATTATTTATAGTTCCTTTAACAATCCTCTTATTCATTTACCTTAGTAATATTTTGCTTTTAATATATCAGAGGAATAGTGAGGTAAAAGCAGATCCCTTGAGTGATGTTTGGGATAGTGCAAGGAAAGCTATAGCTAGCTTTTGGGATATATATGCAAGAATATGGCATGGTAAGTATGACATGACTATCTGAAGCTTTGAATGGAAGTGGTAAATACACAGAATTTTAACTTTAATTTTTTTAATTCCAAATGGATGCAAATAAATTACATTTATTATGCTTTGTATGCGACCTAGCCCAAAAGGTTCTGCCTCAAAGTCTGATTGCAATATAAAATAAGCAGAATGAAAGGGAGAAATTAATTCATTAATATATGGTAAATGTCTCTTAAGTGGATAGGCAGGTGCACTTTTCTCCATCTCGTATCAGAGTGAAGCACAGTGTTAATGTTAATTCTAGTAGCTTAACTGCAAGAGATATATATGATTGATTTTTTATCTTACTATCTGCTTAAAACCCACTCCATAGATTATCAAAACACAAAACTAGTTGGAAGTGTAATTATTGCATTTTCAGTTGGTAAAAACTACTTTGTGTTATGACAATTGAAAATAATTTTAACACCTGTATGGACAAAGAAGCAATTAGATAGCACATCTAAGTTTGTACTGTGGCAGAATTAAAAACGTAACCTTATTTTTCAGTTTTATTACACTCAACCTTCAGCTATTCCTAGGAAAATCCTCAGCCATGTGCTAGGCTCTCCTTCTTGGCACAGATGTGGTTTAAGACGATCAGCAAGACTTAGCATTGCTGTTCTAAGGATGAAGAATAACAGGTTGTTGTCTATGTAGCTATCCTTCCTCACAGCCTTTTCCCTTAAATTTTGAACATCCTGCAGTATAAAACTTTCTCCACTTCTTTCTAGGACTCTGCCTGCTCCAATCCTTTCCTTCCCCTCGAATGGCTCATGACAGGAGCTGTAGCAGGGATGGAGATGAAGGCAGACAAGGTGGAACACAGCTCTTAGTTGGCAGAAGCTGTGGCTTTCCCAAGCCTTTGTATACATTAGTCTTCTTGTCTGGCTCCACCTAAAACCTAAATCAAACATAGGAAGCGCCAGCACAAGGATTCATAGAAGTCCATGTCTGTGAGGAAATTCCCTCCCACTGTGAAGTGAATACATTTAACTCTTGTGGAAAGAACCTCTCTTTGGGATTCTTACAGATTATGGTTTCAACTTCAAAGTCTCATCATTCTCAAAAAGATAAACATTTTATTATGTAAAATCCCAAACTCCACAGTCTGCCTGACCTGGAATGGAGATTCATACTTCCATATTTCAGGAAAGCATCCAGACTATTTGCCTCTGATTTAGCAAATGAAGCTTTTTCACACCAGTTAGTACTTATTTAAACAACTCTTGTTATTGTATTGTGTACTGAGAAAAGTTCTTAATGGGAAATAATTAATTTAGTTCTCTTACTGGGGAAAATGTCAGGTTCAGGTCTGATCTAGAGATTAAACAGACCAACAAAATAGTTGAGTGATAACCTATGGTGTTTGAGGGACTTTCTATTTGCTATTGACCAAAAGTTCCATCCAGAATTTAATTCTTTTGAAAAGCTAGTGCAGAGGCTTTCACAACTCTCTGAAAGTCATTTAGCAAAGGAAGTCAAATGTTTTTCTTTAAACTGCCAGATGATTTACAGGTATCATTGTCAGTGTATTGCTTTCCATCCCAAACAGGTTATGAGCTTCATGGTGTGGAAAACCTTCCAGAAGGACCAGGCATTCTTGTATATTACCATGGAGCTATTCCTATAGACTACCTTTACTTTTTGTCGAGGCTGTTTCTCTGGAAGAAAAGACTTTGTCTGTCAGTAGCTGATCATTTTGTCTTTCGTTTACCAGGTAAGAACATGTTCTCTTGTATTTAAGCATCCTGGATTCTCTCAACATGTTGTTGATTTTGGTGAACTTTACATTGACTACACTTTAGAGATTTTAAAGTAAAAAGACTTCTTTTAGACTTTTAAACTGAAGGTTGGTAGATGCAGAAGGACAAATAGGGTAGAATAACCTCTCTTTTCAGTGAAAACATTGGCAAACTCTCTGAAGCCAACAAATAGACATATAATCCTTCTGGGATGTAATGTCATGCTTCAGTAGAAAGTGCTGGATAGGACTGTATTATTGACTTAGTGCTGACTAGTCAACAATGGGCTCTGAGTGCAGAAGAGCTCAATAAATGTTAGGGTATCAGTTACCTGCTTGCCCTCTACACTGGGTACCCATTGCAGTGGAGTATGACTTCAAATCTGTATTTTGATCAAGGCCTGGAGCAGGACACTGTGCTTTGTTGAAGATTTTACTGTTGACAAGAGCTCTGTAATACTGGTCATCACAATGCATTGAATACATTATAAACTCAGAAAGAAAGAAATAATTCCAAGGTGAAAAGGAGAAGATACAGAGAAGCAAAGATAATTGAATTTTAGAAAAATGAGGCATAAAGAAGAGCATCCAGAAGGAATAGCAGGGAGATTATTTAAAAGCACCTTTACATCACTTATATTAAAAACTATTATAATAATGAGAAAAGGAAGTGATTTAGAAGGTCACTTTTCAGAAAAGGAAGTTTTGTTCAAACACTGAAAACAAGTAGCATAAACTCAAGCAAGTTTGATGCAAAAATCATATTAAGGCACCTCTAGAAAAATGAAAATACTTTCTACAAGCATACTTAGTAAACACTGTGTAGTACTAAACACATCAGAAGTATGAAGCTGTCAAGGGATGATTGGCTTTTAAGAGTACCCTCAAAAGAAGAGAAAGCTAACAATGTTGCAAAGGAGACTTCTCTTTTTAAGGGATAAATGAGAGGGTACAGGTTCAAATTGAAGTATCTGTAGCACAGATTTTTATTACAAATGCATAGTACACTATTGTCAAGACTAAGCAACACTCTCAGCTGTGCAATTTCTGGACTACTGATGTGCGCATAACAGATTGCTTGAATTATGTTCATGCTAGAGGAACAGAAGGTGGCAAATATGGTGTCAACATATAAAAAGGCTACTGAAAGGCATCTGTTAAAAAAAGACCACAAATGATTGAAATTAGATCTCCCCATTGCATTAGTAGAAAATGTGGCTAAAAGTAATAGACTGAGTTAAATTTCTCCCTAACCTTCTCTCGCCCTACCATGCTTACCTACATTTTGCAAAGAAAGGTTACACTTCACAGATTGGTTCTTTAAAACATGCTCATGAGCATATGCTGAACCTCAGTTTGGTTTGTTTACAGGATTAATTGCAGTTACGGGAGGATTCTTCATGTGAATGAGTAACTCTCCCCATCTCAGAATAGCTGAAAAGTAATTAAGCTATAAAAAAAGGGCAAGGATGGTTGGAGGTCTGGCATGGCTTCCTTTGAAAAGCTAGTACATAAGATAGAAGTCTTGCATGACTGAGGGATATAAAATTCTGTGTGAACTGGAAAAGGAAGTAAGAAGTGATACTATGGTCATGTGATAGATTATAATTCTTAACAGGCAAAAAATTTACAAAATCAAGCAAATGAAGTATCTCTTCACTTAATAAGGATATGCCATTTCTGACTGTATGGTGAAACAGAAATACATACCTGAGTTCACAAAGGGATTAAACAAAGTCAACATCTGGTTTTGACAGAAAGGTGTATCAGACATGATACACTGAATAAGATCAAACACAATTTAATTACGAGAATCAGCACTGTGTTTTCCACGGTCTTCCAAAGTTTCTGTTGCAGACCTTTGTCTAAGTTGTACCACTAAGCACCAGTTCTGGCAGTCCAGAGTTGTTGCTTCCATCTATTAATATAAAAAAATATATTTTCAAACTGTGCTGTTGGAACAGTGAATTTGAAGGCTGCAGAAATGCTTATTTGCTGAAGCTCTCCGTGGGAGTTCCAAACTGATGTATTTTAAATGTGATGTTAATATAAGAAAGCACAGAGTGCTTCTATGGTTCTCGATCTGTCTTTTAGAAAAATCCCAGTTATGGAAACAAGGAAGGAGATTCACTGAATGGTTCACACAGTGCTGAAATCGCTCTGCTGACTTGTTCCATTCACACATCTTAAAGTTTATAGCAGTCCAATTTTATCCTCATAATTTGCGACTTTACCACAAAATACTTGATTTAACAACTCAAAACCTCAGTGTTCAAAATGGTAAACATCACATTTTTAAAGAACAGTAAAAATAGCAGCTTGCAGGTATTTGGTATTTACTTTTGTAGCAATCTTTATTGTACTGATTTTTTTCTGCATTAAAATATGTAAAAGGAAGGAGGGAGTAATAGATGCTTATTTTCAGATTTCTAGCTATGATGCACAAGTTTCGGTTGCATGACTTTGATAATTATGGAAAACAGCAAATGGAAGCATTAGTTTATTGAGATGCTCCTGATAACCTTCATAACATTTGGGCAAAAATATTATCACGTATTTATCATTTTGCCAATATTAACTCTCTAGGTGTTTTGCTTCCTTCATACACATTTGTCTTTATCTAAATGTACAGGTATTAAATATTCATTCAGCTGTAATCTGGTTCCTACATGCAAGCAGTATTTCTGATATATTGCTATAATAATATGTATTTGCTGCTCATTTATTACAGGACTTAAATTGCTATTGGAAGTGACAGGTGTTATACCAGGTACGAGAGAGGACTGTCTTGTTGCTCTGAAGAATGGATACTTGGTATCCATCTCACCAGGTGGGGTTAGAGAAGCACTATTCAGTGATGAAAGCTATCAGCTCATGTGGGGAAATCGAAAAGGCTTTGCTCAGGTTGCTCTAGATGCAAAAGTGGTGAGTATTCTACATTACCAATCCCACTTTATTCTTTTTACATACATGCTTCATTATAAAATGCAGTTTAGGAGTAACTGTTGCCTTCCAGACAGAAGAAATGTTGGGGAGTAAAGATTTCTTTACCTTTTTCCAACACTGTCCTCAAGCACAGTAGGGAGGAAGGGCTTTGTGGAACTATCTAGCTTTTTCTGGACCATTGCAAAGTATCCATCTCTGCAGTTCCATGCCTATGGTTCCATCATGCTGGCATCCAGTGTCTCACCTTCACTGTATTTCAGGAACCTTCTCCATATTGAAATATGGTCCTTCTCCATATTGAAATAAGGTTTGCTGTGGTCCTTCTCCATATTGAAATAAGGTTTCACTGTTTTTTCACATCCTACTAGACTTATAACTTAACTTCAACATACCTCGTAATTTTCTTGTGGGTCTTTAATGTATTATGCTTGTCTTTCATTCTTCTCTAGGATTTTGTCCTTACTCTTAATTTTCTTCATGTTTGTGAAAGATTGCAACTAACCCAAGGTGTCTGAATTTGAATCCTGTGTGCACTTCTGAAGCAATTTTTCCATTTCCCTGCTTACCATGCTTTCATTGACATCAAGGAACATGCTAGAATACCTGAGCTGCATTCCTTTTGGCTGAAACTAAACCAGAAGTGGGACCTAATACTCTAGTTGCAAATGAGCATTCACTCAATGGTACCAGACAAGAATGAGTTCTACATAAAAACCGAGCTGAGAAATGTGTTCAGTGTTGATGTCAGATCCTCAGCATCCTCTACAGATGTGCTCCTATTGGTTTGCACTCCACCAATGTACACATCACCAGTGTTTCACTTATTGTTTCCATATGGAAGGTGATCTACAAACACAACCTTCTACCACTCGCTCTGACATCTTCCATCTAAATACACACGTGAGACTGTTTCTCTGATACAGTCTCTAGGAAATAATTTTATTTGGGACGGCATACAGCTCAAAGAACAGCAACCCTTTTTCCTAACTGCCATTTCTCATCATCACCACTAGATAGAAGTTTTCTGCCTTAATTTAGATTTAGCACTTTTTGTGTCTGATAATACTGGTGCAAGTCCAGGTTTCATCTGTTCTGCCATGAGCATTCTGCTGCTTTCTCATGAATTGCATAACCATCGACTTTTTCGTCAAATTCTTATGAATATCTCATCAATTGCACTTCTCTGGCCTTCCAGGAAAACTTTTGTGTCCAATCAAATTCTTATGACTATCTCATCAATTGCACTTCTTTGGCCTTCCAGGAAAACTTTTGTGTCCATATAGAAGAAGCTGTACAGGGAGTTGAATTCTTCCCATGAAACTTGAATTTCTTGCAATCTTTTTCAGATTTTTTGCAGTTTTATCTCTTTCTCACCACATTTGATTTGTTGTTCTCAGACTTTGTTTTGGTCTCTTGTGCTATAGCTCTTACTATAAAGTACCTGGAGTTGCAAAATGCATGCTTCTGGTTAATATTTCTTCATAACTTTGTCTCTGAACATTTTTGGGGAGAAAACTAAACACTAGAATAAATTTAGGGGCACTTACCCAATGGATAAAGTAATTTTAGGCTAGGAGTCCTATTTCTACAGCATTGTCTTGTTACGTGGCCTTTTAAAAGTCATGTTTTATGTGCTTCTGTTGCTTTTTCTGTCCTTTTTATCAAAAGTGTGGGCTGGTAAATGCTAGTCACAATACTTCATATAGTGTGTGGGCCAGTACACATCCAATACTAGGAAAGTGGTGAATGGGATAAACTCAGTCAAATTCATATGGGCATTTTGAATTCCCCTGATAATGTTCTTATGTATTGAATTAATAATATACTCAGTCAGAAAGGGGTGTCACTTTAATAATGAGTGATTTCTAATGATTTTGCTTTCATACCTGTCTTTCAAGCTACTTCAAACATTTGAACAACCTTTTGCCAGATGTTTTTCCTTCACCTGGAACCCTACAGTATTGCAATGTGATAAGTTCTGTTTTTTTGAAATAAAAATTGAATTAGGAAACTCTGAGTGCCCTCGTACAGACTGTCACCCTGATCAATACACATCACAAAAATCCTTACTATGAATCCTTTTAATTCTTTCAATATTCCATAGTTTAGAAGGACATGGAAATAGCTGAATAGTAGTACCGAAAATTGTGAGCACCTTCCAGTGACAGAAATCGTGAGGTTTTGGGTTTGTTTATTTGTTAATTTATTTATGTTATTTATGAATTGAGTATTCATTGAGGATAAGGTTCTTGTAGTGTGAAAGGATTGTGTGGTCATTTGCATAATGTTTGGTAAAACAGGTTCTATGTGGGACCATCTGTTACCAGAAGGGCAGAGAGAGTATTTTAACCTTTGGCAATTACTAGCCTGAGCTTACCTTTACAGTTCTGCTGGCTCTAATATCACTTATTATCGCACTCATTCACTTTTTTTTTTTTTTTTACTATCAGAACGTTCTATAATGTAGCAATTCACATATGTTTTGCTAATACTTACTCAGATTCTGAATGAAGGCAAGATAGAATTCTAAGGGCCTGTTTTGAATTTATTCTACATACAGTGTAGCCATCGACCAAAGAACCACACATACTTTATTCAAAATGACTATGTGGTGGTTAATAATTTGCCACAGATGACTTGAATGGAGATTTCAAGACAACACAACTTGATATATGAATAGATGTTCCCACTCCTCATATAATATTACAGAAGTTCAATAGTTCTATTGAAAAAGTTGAAGAACATCAAACAAGGAAGTTTCAGTGTCAGTCCTTGCCTACAGGTTTCCACATTCAGTTTCCACTTCATCTTGAGTAACTACTCTGCTTAGCTGGAGTCAGAGAAGGAGAGTGTTACTCTTTAACATTATGAATCAAGAACCTCTTGGACATATATATTTGTCTCAGTCAAATTTACCTATGCCAGGGACCTGACCTTCAGAAATACCCTCTGCCTGTGGCTTGGGTTTGACAGGCTAATGGGGAAAGATCATCATTTCTGAAGATCCCTGAATTTTTTTCTGTGCCAAAATATGGGTTCAAGTCTAGTTAGGCAAAAGATAAACAGGGACTACTATTTATAAAATTATCATGAATGTTCAAGGGGTTTGGACTGGATGATGTCCGGAGGTTCCTTCCAACCTCAGCTGGCCTGTGATTCTGTGATTGTCACTCTAGCTGTAATCCATATCAGTTCCAGCACAGCAAATCTAAATCTGTGGGTTACTGCAGATCTGACTGTGCTGCTTTACAAATGTAAGATTTTATCTGTGCACCTGTTTTTACCAGCTTAGGAACTGAACATTGCTACCTACTCTATACCTCAGTGACTGATCATTGTATGAGAGTAACATTTGTAGTTGTCATATTTCTTTATAGCCTAAGATATGTTTCTCTTGCACTATTGATAAAATTTATAGTGTTTTGTCTGTATGACAGATGGGTTTCAAACATTTTACATGTTAGGGGTGCAGTATTCAACAAATAGCTGAAGCCAAGCGTGGTATTTTTAGTGTCCAGTGCTTACAAGTTTTTAAAAGATGTTACTGATTATTTTTAAGGAGTTATTTCAAATAATTTGCCTTAGTTTCTCATTCTGAAGGGTTTCCTATTACAGCTTTAGGTACGTTTGATATTTTTGCTATCCACCAGGGATTTTTTCCTTTTAATGGTTTCCATCACTTTGAGTTCTTTGTCAGTTTCTTGTTAGGTCATTTGCTTGCTTGTTTCTTTTTTTTTTTTCCCTGTGGTTTTTGTTCTGTGGTAGTGATTCTTAACAGCATAAAAGTATTCATTCATTACCTTCTGGACAAGAAATTCCAACAAAATGCTCAAACTATGGTTTAAAAAAACTAGAAAAGGGACAGTAGAGCGGAAAAAAGTCATTACATGTATGGGTACAATCACTGTCAGTTTGTCTATGAACTAAGAAATATTACCTCAGGCTGTAAGACATGACTGTTTCAAGTGCAGGTATCTCAAGTGTCTTTCTTTTCAGTCACTATAACCAAGTGAACTTGTTCTGTAACTGCCTAAGGATACGCCCTCCAGAAGGTTGCAGGTTCAGGTCAGTGAGGACATACAATTGCCCTATTTGTCTAAGGGATTTGCAGAAGTCTTCTCCAGTGAGGTTTTTATCCAAACATTACTTCAGTGAGACTGTGCTTTGAGAAGCAGATGAGATGAGCCAAGCGTGAATGTCTACTTGCGTTCTGCAAGATTTCACAAACTGAATACTTTCCCATTCACCACTCACAATGAAAGCTTTAGACAGAGAAACTGCAAAACTTCATTTTATGTTCCAGTCAGTGATCCTGCAATAAATACATAACGTAAAACTTATACACACCCTAAAACAATGTCAGTCCTTTTCCTTACAGAAAGTGACTTTAAAACAGATGTTTGCAGGAGCTGAGAAACAGAATTTCATTTCTATTCTGGTGTTTATTTTTTATATCAAGATTCCTTGTTTGCTACATAACTGACTGATAATTATCCTCCGTATCCAAGTGTTTTTCTTAGCTGCATTAACAGGAACTAAAACATAAATTCAAACCTGGTATAACATTTCCACCTTTTCGTTTTTTTTGTGATTCCTTAGCCCATCATTCCAATGTATACCCAAAATGTCCGTGAAGGCTATAGGATGTTTAAAGAAAGAAGTAAGAACTTCAAAATATATTTTAAGTATTTGGAATGCTTTATCCACTATTCTCTCAGATTTCTCTCACCTTTTTTCTTAAATTTTGGTTTTCAGACTTCAGCTTGCTCTGGATTCTTTAACACACTTGCTGTGGGACAGAGGTATCTCAAATATGGAAATAGCTTGTGCATAACTGGTTTGTGCTGTGTGATTTGGTTCTTTAACGTAGTCTTATTTCAGTGATCTGTTCAGTCTATCAAGCTTGGTTTTGGTGGGCAGTTACCTCAATCTTGTATCTTCTGGACTGTCAGATAAATAAAGCATGCATTTTTAACAAGTCTTCCACATTAATCAGATTTCAAGTTTGGGTTGTGTTTTCTGTGACTATAATCTCACTTTTTCCTCCCATAAACTATTTCAGGATTTTTTAGACAGCTGTATGAAAGTACTCGATTGCCATTTACTCCTCCATACGGAGGACTTCCAGTTAAATTCCGCACGTACATTGGGAAGCCAATCCCTTACGACCCAAATATAACTACAGAGGAATTAGTTGAAAAGGTAAGTTATCTCTCCTTGCAATATTGAACTCCAACATGAACAATTGAGCTATGTGATACTTTGTCCTCTTTTATATAAGCACTTAAAAATAGTTTTTTGTATACTTGAGTAAAGATAAACATGCTTTTACTAGCTTGTTAAAGCTACAGGCAGTTGAGGTCCAGTATTACTTAATATACAGATACCTACAAGTATTGACATAGTAATAGTTGATTTGGATGCCCTCATCCTTTCAGAATGTGTGAGCTCTGTGTTCTTGGCATGTTAACTTTGTTTCTCCCATGTCTCTGATAATTTTGATAACTCAAATGATGTAAACTATGTTTCAGGTTCAGCTTTCAGTGACTATGAAGAGCAGTGTTAAAAAAAAACCCAAATAACTTTGAGAATCCTCTCTAAATAGCACAGGCCTCTAGAAATAAAGTTCCACAAGAGCTTTGGTCTCATTTTCAAAAGGAAAATGTTAAAAAACACCCCAAAATGTTGCAACCAAAATACAAAAATATTTTGAGCACCTACAGCTTGTTGAAATCAGTAGAGCCCAGGAGCAACACTGCAGGGTTTAGTCACTTTTCAAAATACTAATCTAGAGAGAAAAAGCAGTTTTAAAAATTTTTATAGAAGATGAAAAGAGGGCATTATGAAAAAAAAATCTGCTATGACCTAGGAGTACACAGATCAAAACACTTGTTAGGAATCACTGATAAAAACCCACCTTGCTGTCCCCAAAAAGATGCAGTAAGGCTAGCCTTTCCTTCCCTTTTTTTTTCCCCCCTTCTTTTTTTAAGGGTCTACTGCAGGTTGTTCTGGGCTTCACAAAAGTGAAACCAGAAAGACAGGTTTGGACTGTTACAAGGCAACTGCCCAAGCAAGCTGTGAAGTTTGATCTTAGCAGGCTTAGGAGGCTGGAAGCAATGTTAGTGCTAAGACTGCCCTTACATTCATATTCTTGTATTTTGGGGAACAGCATTTTGTGTACCTGCAAAACTGAAATTGAAATTTCCCATTACATTGGTTTACTTTACTAAGCCAAGCTTTGAACACCCACTTTGACTACCACCCACCTCAGTGGGAGTACAGCTGGGTCTTCTGTGGCTCACACTAGTTAAAAAAAGCCCCAACAACATAAATAGGGTTTGAGATGAGCAGTGGCCTGGCTGACCTCTGCCTACCCCTGCCCTGGAAAGGAGTTAGGACATGTTTAGCTACTCTCTACTTATATTGATAGAGTGATATTCTACCATCACTCCAGGGTAGATCACTGGATATGTAACTCCCTTCATTTTCAATTAAATATATGAGGAAAACCAGGAGACAATTTCTTATTTCTCTTAGAAATACAGAATACTGTATGCATTCTCTTCATAAACTTGTATTTGAATCTCATGTAGAGAGTATTACGACACAGTTTTGTGGAAATTCATGTTGGGAAGGACAGACAGAGGCTCCTACTCCAAATTCCTGGTCCCAGCAAAGTCAGCTGAGAAATCAGATGAGGTTAATCAGGCTTTACCTAGCATTTTTGATGAAACCTTCAGGGATGGAGATTGCACAAACTTAGTATTTACATGTGTTAAAGGCTGCTTTGGCTTAGTAATGCCCAGGTTTGATAACTCTCCACAATCTGATCATTTCCAAATGGCAATCAAAGTTTTTTGTTCCTTTCCTTTCCAAAGAAAAGTGTTGTTAAGACAATTAGCTCATATAAAAGATATTTTCTTCCTTAAAGTAGATACTGCTTGAATTTCCCAATGTCTCTTGAAGTCAGTGATTATGCTGTTCTTCTGTGCATAAGCAGGTCTGTAAAGGCACATTTCTCTTCTCTTTTCAGACAAAAGCTGCTGTCCAGGCTCTCATAAGCAAGCACCAGACAATCCCAGGCAGCATATGGAAGGCTTTACTGGAGCGATTCGATAAACGTCGTAAAAGTGATTAGAATGTTTATGCTTATTTCATTGTATTTATAGCATACAGTAAAAAACAATGTCCTACAGCACTGATGACTAATAGCTGTTGTTCAACCAAGTCTAATTTACAAGTTTCTATGCATTTGACAGCAGAAAACAATCTCTTGAAAGTTCCCCATGTCTCTGAGAACATCCTGAACTCAGAAAGACTGAAGAAGACAGCTTATGTATAATAACAATCCAACATCTAAATTCCCCAAAAGGAAATCATGTAGCCAGGATTTTCCTGGTTCCTAAAACAAGTACATACTTATATCAGAGAGCCTCAGCAGTTTTGTCTAGACCTGTGGTTTTATGCTACACAGTCCAGTCTCAGAGCAAAACCTCAGAGTCGGTGTTGTCCCACCAGAGACCACCCCATGGTAGCACCTTCCCTGTTGGACCCCATGCAAGACAGTGTCAGATGAGAAACTGTCTCATTTTAGCTAATGATCTACTGCTTAGGCCATTTTTGTAGAGACTGTACAAAGAGACATAATCCCAGTAAAACACACACTAGACTCCTGCAAACACATCAGCTTAGTGTTTCATACCCTGAAAAGCTGGACAGCTACATACAAGACTTTGCCCCCTCACCAAAAAGGTCTCTCAAAGGGGAAAAGAGCCTTAGTGAAGTGTAGCACTATGCAAATACATGTAGAAAGTAGTTTCAAGTCTGAGCTGGTTCATGCATACACTATTTCACCATACCAGAGTTGTTTAGTGGATGAGGTAGCTCCATTCTGAAAATCCCTGGATACAGTGCATGCAGTATGGATGTGCTGTATTTACTCAGACCTCCTGGTGAGCAGGGAACAGGCTGGAGGGGAGCTTACTTATGCAATGCAACCCTGAGGCTTATCATCACTGGAGGTTTGCCTAAAAATGCAGTGCTGCAACACTGCCATCTCCATATGGATTGGACCAAAATGCCTGTTTGGAAAGGTAAATGTAGGCACTGTTGTCTTCCTAATATAACTTGCAGCAAACTGAGACTTGCTACAAAGCAGAGTGTGTTTTTACAGGCTGTGGGATGTTGTTACTGGTGGGAGTGGGAGAACTTTGTGTAATCTATGTGCCATTAAATGCAACCAAGTCTGTTTGACTTCAAACACCAAGAAAGATAATTTTTATGTCTCATTTTTCCTTCTTGTACTTTTAATACCTACACAATCTTTCCCCTTGACATCCTGAAAAGTTACATAGCATCCACGTAAATATATACAATGTTTGCCCATTTTTCACTGGAAAACTGAATCTACTCTTTATATTAAAAATTCTTCCTATTCCCATGGTGCTTCTCCACAAATATTTCTTTCATATCTAGAGGAGGGAGCAGGATAGACAGGTGAGTTATTTTGTGGAGCAAAAAGACAAGAATCATGTCCTGAAAAAAAAATCCTAAATCTGCCCTAAGACATAGGAATATTTACTTGAACACCTTAACTATAATTGCTGTATACAGGCAGAAAGATTTTTCTCCCAGCAGACTCAACAAGCACAGGAGATGATAAATTAAAGCAAATCAAGATGCAGACTGATATGCCTGGACAGGTAAACCATGAAGTCTTACACAGCACACTGCAATGATACAAGCTAGAATTCAAAGCCTAAGTGAAGTGAGAAAAGGATCTAAAGGAAAAGGCTGTTGAATACCAAAGTGGACACAGATGAAGCAGCAAAAGGAATTAAGAGTAACCAGAATCTGAAAGCATTCTTTGTATTGCAGAAACTGCAGAAGGACTAGACAGCATCATTCTCTGACTATCCTGGCTTTTTCAAACACATCAGTGTCATCATGGAGCTTGTCCAAATAAGCACAATGAAGCTGGTAAAGGGTCTGGAGCACGAGTCTTATGAGGAGCATGTGGGAGCTGGGGTTGTTTAGCCTGGAGAAAAGGAGGCTTGGGGGAACCTACGACTACCTGAAAGGAGGTTGCAGCCAGGTGGGGCTCAGTATCTTCTCACATGTGACAAGAGGAAATGGCCTCAAGTTGTGCCAGGGGAGGTTTAGATTTGATATTAGGAAACATTTCTTCACTGAAAAGGTTGTCAAGCATTGGAATAGGCTGCCCAGGAAAGTGGTGGAGTCATCATCTGTGGAGGTGCTTGAAAGACGTGTGGATGTGGCACGCGGGGACATGGTTCAGTGGAGGCCTTGGCAGTGCTGGGTTAACTGTTGGAATTGACGATCACAAAGGTCTTTTCCAGACTGAATTATTGTGATTCTGTGATTGATTAAACACATCAGTAATCTGAATTTGCATGACCTTTCAAATGTCATGCTCTTGGACACCTGATGCTAGGGACAGAGTACTAGTCTTGGATAGGGGATATGTAATCAGAGCACTGATTATCTTTCAAAGCAGAGATTTCTGCCTGTATCTCCCCTATTTCAGACAGCTGTTACCAGTTTACTAGGAAAATTTAAGTTTTTCCTGGGCTATTTCATGTTAAAGCCTCATCATTGTGCTAAGCTGAAGTGAGCTGAACTGAAAATTAATTTCTGCTAGTTTTCTGTCACAGTTGTTTTAAGAGTATTTTGTGAGGTCACAAGATGATAGATGAGATTATTATAGAGAAATATGAGTTATTGAATGATGTACATGTGAGTTTTCTAATAAAAATTATAAACATTTTTTCCAAAAATACTCTAATACTGCTCTAATAAAAAGCAGTTATCACAATATTATTTCAGTGTCCCCATCTAAATTTTTACTTTTTAGAGCAGTATTATAGAAATTGGAACTAGGAACTTGTAATATACAAACCAGAGCTTCTTGTCATACAAATCGTCTTGTAATTGTGGATCAAATCACTCCCCTGCTACCATTATTTTCTAGCCTCTCCATCCTACAACAAAGAAATTTAAAAAAGCAAATGCAAATGACCTGTGCCTGCCTCAAAATGAAAGCAGCATTTATGACTCCTTTTGGGTATAGTTTGCCCATTGAATAATGAAAGGAAATCCTCTTTTTGTAACTTTTTGCATATAAAGTTTATCTAGCTCAAACTACACAATTTCGCATTGGGAAAAAAATATCCTACCGATAACACTGGAAAAACAAGTTAATAAAATAATGGAATCATAGAATGTCCTGAGTTGAAAAGGATCCCACAGGGAGTATCGAGAACCAGCTCCTGGCCCTGTACAGGACAGTCCCAAGAATCACACCATGTGCCCGAGAGCATTGTCCAAACGCTTCTTAACTCCGTCAGGCTTGGGGCTGCGACCAGTTAAAGGGGCAATGGTGCAAATGCAGCTCCATAAAGGCACAGCTGAGCTACCACGGATGCCGAACAGGCAGAGGAAGTACACGTAGAAGACAGCCAAGCACGGTGGGCAGACATCTGAGCGGGCTCACAGCCAGGCTGAATTCACCTCGGCTAGACCTGGGAGCGCTGTCCTGGGGGTGTGACGATGGAGCTGCATCAACGCCTGTGTGTGGAGCTGCGCCTGGTCTAACTGCAACACTGCTTATTTCTTCCACTGATTTTTAGCTTTTCTCTACACATATGTCCAGGGATCACATCCAAGGCTGCGCCCAGTTGGGGATACCTTAAAAGAGTTGCGAATGCCACGTCCAAACCGCAAAACCGGCCG